TACTTACTAGAGTACAATTCATGCCAATATGTTTTATCTTTGATGATTCGATTTGTGAAATGCATACTTCCTATTTTTATGCCTGTCGAGGTAAATCTATGATATATCTGCAACTTTATGAAGATTCTAAGTACTGTTAGTTCAGCCTACAGTATAACATTAACATTGAGTAAGTGCAAGTCCCTAATACATTATTTAAGATGCTCGACTTTGAATAACCTAACAAAACTACCTCGTAAACATACAATAAATGAAATGTGTGTAGCAGTGGGACCCAGGACACGAATTTCATCTTATTTAGGACTCGTCAGCCGGGTGTACCTGCATCTAAGAGCATATCCAGATGACGAGTCCCAAGTAGGAAAAACCACGAGTCCTTCATTTCACTGCCACTCAAATCCCACCTGTTCAATATCAACTTGTGACATAATGGCTGTGTCGAGGCAATCCGTACAGGATGCCCATATACTAACTAAGACTGATCACATTTCAGTCGAAAATATCAACAGGAAAATTCAAATAGAACTATATCTCGTAGGCGGGTACGTATAACAAAATTGCTTTGTCATACACTCCTTTTTAGCAGGTGTCATCAATGAATTGTTTATTATTTGATTATAGTGAAACAATAAAATTACGGCAACTAAGTTGAGACAAAAAAAATCGCATTATTCGTCCAGTTTAAATCCCATTAACATGGAATCTAAACCAATCACCTGTAATACGATAAACGTTTACTTACATTTCGGAATCTGACTTGCAAGAGTAGAGATTTGAGGTCAATTAGTCAATAAATTTGTTAGTGGACAATTTGATTTGATTGAAGCCCTAATTGGTATAAGTAGTATTTCAAGAAATGATGTCCGACATTGAAACATATGTGAGCGAATATAAGTAAAATTGTAGGTTAAATTGGATCTTAAATGTGTTTCATACAGAGGACATGTACTAATCAAAGTACTGGCAACAATTTTTTCTCCTAGTTTACACAATCGATTTGTCTAAATCGAATTTTAGACTTATATAATCGAGTTAGGCGATAACCAGACTCCAAGTGAAACATCAACTAGAATTTCAAAACAAACGAATCCTCTGAAAAAATTATGTATTTTCAAAAAAATAACAAGGAGAAAAAATATTTCGCAGTTGATCATTCATAATATTGTTAAGATAAAACAAGGTTTTAGCAGATACACTAAATGGATTGTAAAAATAAGTGGAAATATGAGAAACAAACTTTTTTGAAAGCGTTTACTAACGAGGAAATTTTTCATAAAACTAAGAATAAATAAACAATGATTAACATATTTAGTTTGTGATCAACTCAGTTGTTCAAAATTTCAATTTCTTCATATTCCAAACGCTGACAGTGATAGTACAACGAATTTCAAATATAGGAACTTCACTAGAACATATTGTCGACATAAATGATGGGGTTAGTTAAGGGTAAACTGTTAATGATTATCAAAACTCCTTTTAGAATCATTTATATATTACCCCAATAACTTTATCAACAGAATTAGACTCAACATTTAAATGGCGAATAAGTAACAAATTTAGTGGCAGACGTTATTTAAACGAATTATTCATAGTACTAAGTATAGTGACCGGTCATGCAGGCTGATGATGGTAACTAAATAAGTACAATTCAAATTAAATAAGTGTAGTATTCATTCGATTAAGCAGTTGCAAGATATTTGGTTAATTAGAAGTTATTTAGCATGATGGATTGATATACAACGGTTATTTAGTAGATGTCAGAGTAACAACTTTTCCCCTTGGTTTTCATTAAACCGAAGTTGATTACAGCACCTATTCTTCTGGATACATGTTACCCGGTTGTTCAAAATAAACATTTACACCAATAACATGAAGGGGTTATCAATATGATTCAGCACTATTTAATTTATCCTTGTCTAGTGACACTTAATTACTATAACATTCCATGTAAACAAACAATTAAATCTACCAATACCGTACAGACTTTGAAGACTCCAAGGCTTCCCACTTAAGATTAATCATTTAACAGGAAGTAAGCTACCATTAATCAACATTAAGTCAACCAAACATATTAGATTTCAGTTTATGTTTCATAATAGAACATTTTTTTCTTACATGACTCTTGAGATCAAATCATTTACATTTACGAAGCAAGATTCATCAATCGCATACACGCATGACATTGTGTTTATGGCAAGCAAACATCGGCAGATTCCTGTAGACTCGTTTACATTCTGTCGGGACTGAAGTAAAATTGGCTGACTTACATTTAAATAAAATACAACTCCAGGATATTAGACTTAACAACCTTTCAGCTTTATTTTGCTTCTCACAGAATTAACTGACTAAATCCTTCACGTTTTTGCCCATTGATTCTTCTAAATAAATATTGGAATTTTGAGAATTTTTGACAAGGGAAAAATTGTTCTCTACAATCTCTGATGTACTCCAGCTTGAAATTCGATTATGGCAGATACATTAAATTGACAACACACCGACATAACTTCGCACCAACCCTTAAAACAATCAAGTTTAAAAACGCCCACAAGCATTATTAAAATGAAGTTAATATGTAGGTAGTTGGCTAGCAAGTAAATTGAACGAAACCAATTTCTGGGTTTTGTTTACACATTTGCAATCAGCTGCGCCGAATCTCGGTTCTATCAATCCTCACTTTGTAAGATAATCACACTTTTGACATTAAGTCAGTAAGATATGTTTTCACAACTTGAAGGCTAGACAAAATGTGGTTACAAAAAAGTAGTTAAATATGATTTATTTTCGGACAAGTCTTGAAAATGTTAACACCGGAAAGCTGGACACGATGCATTGAAAAGTGATATACATTCGAAAACTATCCATAGACTGTAGGAATCCAGTAGTTTGTTACATCAAATGCAATAAACGTGACTGTTAGAGGGGGGGGGCTGACAATAAGTTATAGTGATTTTAAGTCGTTATTAATAAATACAAGAGTTGTTGCAGAAATAATTTTTGCTAAATGGTAAGAAGTAGAAAGCGTTTACATCACTCCAAAGGTTTACTAAGATACCGAAGAATCAGACATAAACAAAAGTAACACCAAAATAAGAAAGGACTCAGTTGGAGTTGCCCGTTTCAAAATATACGCATCTGAACTAATGAAATGCTTTTTATCACGGTTGATGTCTATGAAATTTTTAAACTGATATTTACAATAAAATAATGACGGAGAATCGTCAACAAATATTCGGAGGATATTTACAAATAGAATGCTAACCAACTTAAAGGTTTGCACAAATTCCAAACTAATCTCAATATTCAACACAAGCAATAAATATGACTTTCGCCGGCAGTTATGAAAGTTAACCCAGTTTATTAATTGTTTTGTTTTAGGATTTTCAAGGATTACATTCCTTTACTCTAGCAAAAGTCCCGAGAATTCAAAAATGTGCTGCTGCAATCCACCATTTTACTATGTGCATAATCCTTTAATTTTAATAGTAGAAGTATTATTGTTGTGGAAAGCAATAATTTGGGTAATTGTCGTTGTGATTGCATTTCGATGGATTGATCTGAGGTACAATATTGCTGCGATTAAAACAAGCCCCATTCTTTAAAAAACCTTTATTTTAATGCAGAAGCCGTTACCAACTTCTTTAGCTGAATCATTTTTAGAGAATATTTAACAACGAAAACCAGTTATGAGTGCTTTTAAAGTCAACTGACAGGAATGTGTACCAAGAAACTCCAATAATCGAAGGTTGAAATATACTAGTTTCCACGCTATGAGGCTTATACTACTGGTAGAACTTTGATAATCTTTCGATGAAAAACTCGATTCTTAATGACGAAAACAATTTGGTATAGTGATAATAATCCATGAAAGCTGACACACGCAAACATAAATTCATCAATATAAATCCCAAAAAACATGCAGATAGTATTCCAAATTTATGATTTATTCAATTTCAATTTCTTGGAGTTTAGTAACAATTTTGATTATTATGTTTTTTGTGATAGATTATTCTTGTTGAATGTCCGTTTGTCTTGAAGAAGAGTACTAAGTTAACAGTCCTAATATTCTATTGATGTGAGTAATTTAAGAACGACTGTAGCATGTGTAAGGTAACACATCTGATGGAAAAGTGCCGTTGAAAGCACATAAGGGATTAAGATTTCTAACAAATTAATTTTATTTAAGTTCAGCTTAGATAGATGTCAGGCAATATTCATGGATAACTATACTTGAGAAGCACAATACAATCCAGAAAACACTGGGAAACAAATAAACGTGAAGACGCATTTATGCAAAAAAACCGGTATACAGTACTGCATATGAAAAGCAGCCGTAAGAATAGTTACACGGTAATATTTGGAGTGGGACCGATGATTATCTTAAACAGAGGACAAATTCTAAGAGCACACTATGTTAGTGAAGAACCTGTAGGCGGAAAAACTGGAAATTTTCCGAATATTCCACACCATCTTTATTCATCGTTCATGCAATTTTATTATATCGATATATCCATGAATCCAGTGTTATTTGCTTTCCCAGTAAAACGTAAAAATCCAAATCCCGCTCTCCAATGTACATCTAGGAAGTTTCATGAGATTAATCAATTTATTCTAACAATACCATTTTACTCGTGTTCCCAATATACTACTCATTAAAAGTAGTGAGAAAAGAGGACAAAGCTCAAATTCATTTGATTAGATACTTGGTATTGAACTACTCTTGTTCTTCATAAACGTAGTAAGCTCTGTAGCTAACGCGTAAAACAGTTCTTAGAGAATGAAAGGCGATGTACACGTTTACTGTCCCAATGAAATTGAATTACACAATTAAATTAACTGAAAACCAACAACATAATGGAAAGCAGTAGTGATATTCAGCCAGTTTTCAGGTAAATACAATAAGTCTATTTTTTTAAAGATACAGTGGTATAAACTGAAATGCATTTTGTTATCAGTGTGTTGTAGAGCTGTAGTTCATTGACGCATACTCATTTTTAGGTTGGCGTCGCATGTTATAAGCATTACGTATCACATCAGAACGTGGTTGACGAGAACGACTTTGTTGGACACCATTGTTTGTTCTCACTATGCGACTACGGCTATTTGAATTGTATGCTAACGAATTACGAGGTCGGCTTTTTTCCTCTGGGGACTGATGGTAACGATCGGGTCGCTCACCTGTTGGACGTCGAGATATTCTTTGAGAAGGACGTGGTCTGGAATTTCTATCCCCGTACGTGGATCTCTGGTGCTCTGCAAAGTTCGACCGGCGTCCAGATTCACCATGATTTAGTCTAAAAGAATAATTTCAGAATACTTGCGTCGATATGTCCCAAATATAGAAAAATTCTAGACTTGTAATGTTTAAAATGACTGAGACAGGCAATTCAGAGATTAGGAAAAACGAATACACATGGTCTTAAAAATTTGGTTTCTAAAACCAATCATACAAACTCGATAGTAAATATGACTAAACTGTACCGTGTTATGCACAGATGTCACTTTTGTATAAGAAGTATGTAATACAAAACGAGAATACTGAGAAAACTGACACTACTGGATTTCAGTAACTGGACCTAAAAAATGTTTATCTATAGCTCATAAGTTTTATGGGTTGTTCAAGTGCGTGATGTAAATTTTTAATAAATTCTAACTACCTTAATGAAACCATGGATCAATAATCTAGACAGTATGTTACTAACCACTGAATGAGGAGTTTGATTCCCGTTAAATTTAAGCTGCTAATAGTTGTGTGGTGCACACTGGAAACTTAGTATAGGAACATAAACGCAAATACTAGACGAACAATGATATCAGCCTAATATTAACTAAATAATCGCAATGTGTTCATTGGACAGATCTACCTGAAATTTTTTAGCGTGATGAAAGTTATTTTCATGTTGAATTCCCTATCAGGTAGGAAGCTTTGAAAAAAACCAGATTTCTTTAAGAGTACTTTTTATGCTAGATGATTCGAAATTCCGCACAAGAACAATGCTTAAGATCTGTAGTTACGAAACGGATGTAATAATATCGCAAGATGAAAGAATTGCTTTCTTATCGCTGCTGTCAATTATAGAACACTTCCAAGTCACACTCTTGAATTCGCGAACGATAAGTAGGCAATGAAAAGATGATTCAGTGACAACAGCTTCTAATAATTATTTTCCAAATCCAAAGCATATTTAGTAAAACTGCAGAAAGTTTTTTCAACTGCTTGATAACTACAATAACCATGAGATGAAATGGTCTTAGTTATGAATGAAAATTCACGTTCGCTGAGATATAAAAACATTATCAGCGCGAAAAACCATGAAACATAATGTTAACGCTAATGTACAGCAGAAATTCAGTGTCTTGTCTTGTTTAAGTTTTGGACGATAGAACTGAAAACATGTTGAAAATGTTGCATATAGGATCCAGTTTCATTTTGTTTATGTTGAGTAACTATTGGATTCTGAAATTTTGAGTTGTATATGTTGTCATCAAACTGGCATCTGTAAGATCCTCTTGATTTGATCTTGCATTTTCCTCAGTCGTATGTTATAAATTAGAAAGTTGGCCTTTACACTTAAAATAATTGTTGAGGTAAGATTTGCTATCCTCTGGATATTTAAATTTGTTTGAAGAACTGGCTTTTTACGTCCAATCAGAACATGTCAAAACTTCACATGAGGTATAGCGTCTTTCCTTTTGGTGAATGTTGAAGTAGGAAACTGCCATATGTACACTTATTGAGAACGAAACATAATCCATTATTCGGTAACTGTATCATAGGTTGTATACTAAGTACATGGAACATGCAGGAACGAGATGTTAACTAAGTATTGAAGATACCAGAAGGGATGCTTGATGTGATATTGTTAGTCACATGCTTGACTTCGTGCCATGACACCGACCGAAAATTTGAAGACTAGTTGTAAGATAGATAGTTTTACGTAGCATTGAGTTGTATGCAGAAGTTTAGTATCTCTTTACTTTGACTACTGATTATTGAGGACTTTGTGCGACGTGACTCAGATGCGTTCATTTTGTTTTTTGTCACTATTGAGTCCCAGTGTTGCTTCATATATACCTTTCCATTTTGTCATTTTATATCGTATTCTCAACATTTAGTTTTTCGCATTACCATTGCTACTAAGTGATTATGGTTCTTTTGCCATTTAGCTTGTTAATTTCTGCTTCAATCTACATTTTTGCCCGACTCTACATTAATTATGACTGACAGACACAGCTATTCCATAGTATACAAGAATATCAACTTCTACATAGAGTTGATGTTTACCAAATGAGATGATTTAGACGTTTTATATTTTATGTATTCAGCTTGTTAACCATTCTCACAGTAATCATTCTAAAAGCGAAAAATTATTTTGTATTCTTTGATTTGTAAACAATCTTGCAAAAATTGTTAAAATATAGTGAGTAAACTTATAAATATTTTATTGGTTTGGAGTCATCAGTATTTCATAAAAATTATGTAAAAATCAATTGTGGTGTTTTAAGAGTTCTTGAATTCTTGCATTCCCATTTAACATTCATATCTGGTTGGAATTCATCTAGATTCATTATGAAATTAATTCATAAATAAAAAATAAGATGCCTTAGATACAATGCGTAAGTTTTCTCTCTCATCTGAAACGTTTTACCCAGATGGAGGTTAACAAAATGGAAATTTACGATAAAACAGAGTAGATTAGCATACATATTATTGAGTTTAATATGACACCACGCCTTATCCATTCCACTCATTTAAAAGCCATGTTATGGCAACCTACATAGATTCAAAGTCTGACAAATTTAACAGTGATTATGGCTGCCTGACTTAGGTTGTCGCACTATTGTCTTGTATACATACATAAATACACGAAAAGTTTCATAAATCTTGCTATTTTATTTTAAATGTTTTGAAATAAATTTAAACTAGTCAACATGAATGTTGGTTAAGTAATCTGTACATAAGATTTTGACTAGTGTGATTAGGTCATTAGGAAAATGTATTCATTATAACCACCAAGACATGAAGTCAATGGTTGTTGATCATAAATTTATATATGGAAATTTGAGTCTTCCGTGGGAATTTGTTGAGATATTGGAAATCAGTCAATGAAAAAATATTTCGTCAACAAAAATTATTGACAAGAATCGCATTCAGTATTTCCCGGTCTTAAGATCAATGAGGTGTCATTACATTGTTTTCTTATGAGTAAATCTTCTTAACACACAGAGAGATGACATTTCTTGTGTCCTATTCGAATGATTCTTATGTTTTTGAATTTATTTTCCCTTTTTGTAAGGTTATTGTGGAGTGTTGAGTCGATGAACTGTGCTGGAATTTTAACTTTTTCCTCTACATGTAGTTTCTTGATAACACTGTTCTGAAATTTGTAAAGGACATTAGATACACAGTAACAACAGACTGGATATGATGAGACGATGTTCAAGAACAAGATGAATCCGTTAGAAATAGTTTTTGCATCTTTTTTTCAGTAATCTTCATCTAGATATTTTCAGGTTCTCTGTCTGATGTTGAGTATTTTTTAATAAACCATCAGTATGAGTACAGTACTCCTTATGTATCTTCAAAATGTATGAAGAAACAAACATAAACACTCTTTATATATAAAAAGGTAGGTATTTCATTTACGAGCAGATGGACAACTGTAGATTAGCTGAAGTTATTTTCATATTCAAAGCTGAAACCAAATCCCGGTTTTTAGTTGTTATTATCAATATCAGTGAACAAGAAAGCTAGAGAAGCACATAATTGAAATGGGGTGCAAATGTACGACAACACAAAGAATACGCAAACCACAGATTACAATATATGCATGAATAATATTTAAGCCATCCTTATTGTACTATGAAAATTTACCGTTTTTCTTTGCCCATATATATTCCAGGTGTAGGATTGTGTGGTCGCTCAGTGTAGCTGTAATCAATGCGAACAATACGATCATGTAGTTCCAAACCTCGAGCGCATGCAGCGCGCGCTGAACGAGCACATTCAATAGACCGAAAATATATAAACGCGAAACCACGTGAACGCCCTGTTGATAGACAATTGAGAGTATGAAGAAACATGAAATGGCATAAGAACGAGATTCTTATCCTTGACAATAGTAAAAACTATTGTGAAGATGATAAACAATATGTACATAAATACTTTTGTCCAAAAAACAACTGAGAAACATTTTCACAACTGTTTACGCAAGATGGGTTATTAGTGTTTGGCAGCTAATTTTACTCAAATACTTTAAAAAAGGGCAAACAAGACCAACTATCCAAAAACTAGTTAATAAACACCGAAATTTGGATATGAAATGTCACTTATCACACCTATTTTGTTTTTATTCATTTAACACATATATTGTGATACAACTGGGCATAAAATAGTATGCACCATACTTTAATCTGACTATATGGTTGGAACATCTTGTAAACATTGTATAAGCTAACTATACAGAATAATCTACTTTGACTTACCAGATAAATTATCTTGAACAAGTTTTATCTCCTCTATTTCGCCGTACTTTTTCATTATGTCATACAAATGCCGTTCCTCGGTACGCATAGACAATCCAAAAGCACCAAGTACACGAGATGGTTTGGGAGGAGATGATTCGACTCGACTGTCCATTTTACTACGTTTTTTCGGAACAGGACTAGTGTTTGAATCACGACTGTACCGCGGGTCTTGGCGAAACTTCTCTACATCATGTTTACTACGTCGAAGTTCTTTACTGGGGGAAACATATTCCTTGTTTGGATTGTAGTAGTCATATTCCCTATCTTTTAGATCATTTTCGAAAGGCATTCGTGACTGGAATGGAACATCCCGATAACGTTTTCTTGAAACGGAATTTTCATATCTAAAACGAAGAAAAAATAATACATCATAGACCCTATTCCACGTTAAGTAGCTAAAGCAGTCTAACCAACGATATTAAATAATTCATTTAGAATTATCTACATTTCCCAAACAATCTATGTTCGAAAAGGCATATTTGGTGAAATGTACGGACGGATAACGATAATTCATATAGTGAACATAACTTATGGGCGATATTTATTCGAGTTATTAAAGATCTCAGTTAAGTATGTAGATTATAGCTTACGAATTTACATATGAAAATTACGTTTTATAATTATCACCTAAATATATATCCATATGAGATCAACAAAACAATAAGTACAAAAATATTTAACTCATTAACTGCAAACAAGAACATGTACCAGACTATGAATCATATCCATTATCTGAGTTCCGATGGTACTTCCCAGTCATCCAGACATCTGTTAAAATATTAGTTGTTAAAAACGAGATCTATAACACAACGTAAACTAGACTGCAGAACTAGGTTTTTCGCTCGCTCAATCTGAGTTTCATTCAAAATAATTAAGTGTTACAGTGTCAAGTTAGACAAAAGTAAGACCGAGTTGGATCTAACATAAAAATTTAAGTTGTCTTGGCGAAATTTCAATTGGATCTATAACCGATACACCAGAGAAAAAAAAACGAAATCTTTGATCAAAGCTTAATAGACTTAGGTAAAGAGCCACAATGATAGCCAAACAAATGCACTGTCTATAGACTACAAATTTCGTTAATTTCTTATCCAGCCCCTGACATTATTAATAATTTTAGTAGCAACAATTATATTTAAGTTTCTATGTAATACTACGAGCTACATCGATTACGATTGAAATACACTGGATATACAAACTTTTACTAGTGTGGTATACAAATTCAGGATGCTGGTTAAAGACTGTATCCGAACCAATGAAAGCTGCAAATCAACATACGTTATCAAACAATGTAGTTTGAATTATTTGGACGCGATAACATACAGTATGACTCATAATAAATGCGAACTATGAATGACTGCACTTACGCATGTTCAGCATGGCGAGAACCGTTACGATAGTCCCGTCCACTATCTCGATTCGAATATATCGTTTCATAGGCCATTTAGTACTTAGCTTTTAAGAGTATAACTGAGGAAAAAAGGGAAAACACATTTTAAAAATGTCAGTGCACTTTAGAAAAGGCATCAAACTAATTTGCCGACGTAATTAACCTAATTACCTTAGCAACTAACCCATAGATTAGTGGTTGCGTTAAAAAACCATGAAAACCAACGACGGTTTCAGTTACAGAGGAACTTCGATAATTACTAAAGTACAGTGTATTCAATTCGGATAACTTTGATCAACAGCGACTTATTGTTTGCTAACGCTCGTGAGACTGAATACTCGGACATTTTCCCCACATTAAGTCTATTTACACCCATGGATTATGAACATATGACGGTAAATGTATTCACCCTGAAATTTAATTTAAATTAGCTAAATCAAGGTCGGTGGAGTGGGGTCTGAACCAGGAACTTAATGAATGAGGGTAAAATGGCCTAACCACTAGATTACTGCTCCTGCATCCTGAAGTCCATTGAACCAGGAGATTGTATAAAACCTGATTTCACATAACTTAGGTAGTAGAAAATAAAACTATTTACGTCCCAGACTCAAATGTAACTGAAACGCTGAAACATGTGTTTAAGCAGACGGAAGTATGACTACGTGGGAATTATACGGCTATACAAAGGAAATTCTAGGGGGAAAAATGGGAAGCCAAAACTAAGAGCGGGTACGAAATAGCTGGTGATATAAATTTCACTAATCTGAAGCTTACACGATAAACTAATCTAGAATGAATATTACAGAACAGCTCTTATCTGTAAACAAATGTAAAAGTCAATAATTCAAAGCCTTTAACCACTGGTAGCGTCTATTCGCGGACTCCAACCAAGTAGTCTACCAATAAATAACGAATTGTCACGTATGCTAAATGGAATAAAGTTAGGTGCCCGTAACTACATATGTTTTCAAAGATTTACGACTTTGTATTTAGAAAAGAGCAAGAACAAAGATTCTAGCAGAATAGCATGAATTCATTTTATTTCGTAGGTTCTCGTCAGCTGCTTACAACCTGTGATATTTAAAAATCATAATTACATAATGGGTTTAAATTGCTAACTGAATATTGTAAATATATACCTAAAATGTGAAAGAATATTCTACAACATTAATTGTGACAACAGTTCAAAAGTGTGTTAGAAACAATGATGGAAGTCGAGATTTCCCCGAAATCATGATGCCGATACCCCTTCTGACAGCCAAAGCAGCGATTAGCATAGATACATGGAATGTCTGGACAATGTGGTAGACTGGGAGGTCCAGTTAAACAGCTATGAAATAGAAATACAGCGTTCATTCAAAATACTGAGAAACAACCAAGTCACAACAACTCTCAACAACAGGTTCCAAGTCTTACAAGATCTACTCAAAGAAGAAACTACTGTGAAAAACAACTCGAAATAGATCAAAGCGTTAATTTCAAATTGCCAGGTGTTGGGTCGCGAGAAGCACCATCATAAGGAATAGACCTCCATAGAAAACCTGGACAAGATTCAAGAAAGGAAGAACAAGAAGACAGCAATTAACAACAGCCGATCACGAGCAGAGAAAGTCAAGGCACAAGTTGAACACACAGAAACAAACAAGCAAGTGAAGAGCATCAGAGCCAACAAGCAGGAATATGTGGGAGACCTAACAAAGATAGCGGATAAAGCTGCAAGAGAAAGAAATATGAAACAACTATATGACACAACGATGAACCTGACACGGAAATATAGTGAAACAGAGATTGGTCGAGGACAAAGAAAGTCAGCCAATCGCTGAGATTCAAAAGCAGAGGAACAAATGCACAGAATACTTTGAGGAACTCTATAATAGGCCAGCTCCACTGAACATCGAAGAAGCACATACAGACCATCCTACAGATGTCACCCCACCAACGATCGCAGGAATGAGGATGGCCATCAGACCAATCAAGAATGGGAGGCAGTGGGTTTTGACAGTATATCAGGTGAAGCACAAAAGTCAGACACAAAAGTAACTGCAAACATGCTTCACGCTCTATTCAGGAAATTTGGGAGGACGAACAAGTACCGATGGACTGGAAAGGACACCTCGTCAAGACACCAAGGGAAGGAGATTTGAGCAAATGCGAGAACTACAAAGGCATCACACTACTGTCAGTAACAGGAAAGGCTTTCAGCAGCGTTGCGAGCCGCATGAAAGAATCAGTAGACGCCCAACTTTGAGATCAACAGCTCGGATTCCGTAAGGATCGGTCGTGCATAGACATAGTCGCGACACTACGAATCATTGTCAAACAATCTGTCGAATGGAATTCATCACTACACATCAACTTCCTTGATTATGAGAAAACATTTGAGTGTGGATAGGACACTATGGAAACTCCTTCGACACTATGGTGTACCTGAGAAAATCTTCAAAATCATACGACGGACTACACTACAAAGTAGTGCATGAAAAACAGTTGACAGATGTATTCCAAGTGAGGACGGGAGTTAGAGAAGGCTGCTTACTCTTTCCCCTCCTTTATCCTCTGATGGTTGACTGAATTATGAAGACGTCCACATCTGATAGGAAGCATGGAATAAAATGGACATCATGGATGTAACTAGATGATCTGGCCTCTGCAGAAGACCTGGCCAACCTATCACATACACACGAACAAATGTCGCCAAATGCGCTGGTATGGTCGAGAGTGGGGAGTCCGCTCGTCCTCTCGAAATGCTCTCACACGGCCACGCGTATATAGCCTCTGCCAGGGAAGTCCTACTCATTGCCTTCTCTTGGCAGGGGTGTTGTTCACGGAAATGAGAGGACGAAAAGCGAATATCCAGCGCTCTAACCGGACCCCAAACCAATGGTGCACATGGGCTCCAGTGTCCTGAAGGAACAAATGGCGTATGAACCAATCATTGATCACCGGCTACCATGTAACTGCATCTCCTTACGGTGCTCCACTGCCTTGTGGGTCAGACCTTTAGGTCAATGGCTCGGGGTGTGGCCCCTTAAGAAAACCATCTGTTTCGGTCTGGGCACCCGGGTAGTACCACAGCCCTCACACATATCAAATGAGATTTGTGTGGCGCATATGTATTTGGTGCCTCCTTGTACCAATATCTATGTGTTAAAATAAATAACAAAATAAATGAACAAATGCAGGTAAGGACAGTCAATGAAGCAGAAGCCTTTGCATCAGTAAGCCCCAACATACACAAGGGAAAAACCATGATCCTCAAATACAACAAAGAGAGCACCAACTCAATAACACTTGATGGAGAAGCAGTGGGAGAGGTGGAAACATTCACGTACCTGTGGAGCATCATCGATGAACGTGGAGGGTCTGATACAGACGTAAAGACAAGGACTAGAAAAGCAAAGACAGCATTCCTACAGTTGAGGAATATATGGGACTCGAAGCTGCCAACCACATATAAGGTAACGGGTTTCGGATTTTAGCGCGAGATTCACTTATCCATTTTGGATAAATAAAATTTTGGCATTATAGCTTATGTCAGTCAGTCAGCTACAACGTAGGACCAGGCACATTTATGCATCCGTCCAAGTTGCCATACCTCATTAACACAACAAGAATGGACAGCGGATTAATAAAAGTAGTTAATTCAGAGGTGGTAATATATAAAAGAAAGATTGCAATAAGGATAAAGTACAGGAAGAAATAATTAGTTCGTAGAAAGAAAGATATAAAGCAATTTTAATCTCTTAGTTTAAGGGAAGATAGAGAGTGTATACACCGACGCCGTTGTGATCGATTCTGAGCCATGTCACCAAGAGTCACCAACCACTGGTTACGACACTCATACGGACCCCAACCAAGTAGTCTGCATCTACCAACATGGCTCAGAATAGAAGTTAGTGACTTTGTGGACTGATGCCAGGTTTTGGTTTGGCCGCCCCTAACTTTTTTCCAACCATCCCGAACACCGGTTAGCATTGAACGTCGTGGTAATCGGTGTTCAGGCATACGTAACACGTGGCCCAACCATCTCAGTCGATGAGATGGTGTCAGTTCGTGATGAAAACCCTAAATCTAATTTATAACCTTAGTCATCAAATGTAAATCATAATTCTAATTCCTCACACAGGTTTGTAATTCTCACTTGGTCCTCGTTATGAGGTGGACACTCAAGGTCAGCCTAGCGTCGCTCAAATGTCGTCCATAAATCATAGTCTCACCCTGTTAACCAATGACATAATCTTCAATACGAACTTTAGAAAAATGCTACTATATGAAGCTAAAACTTGGAGGACTACCACAACCATCATCAAAAGCAACAAGTATTTGCAAACAACTGTCTACGCAAGAAACTAGAAGTTTGTTGGTTGGACACTATCAGCAACAACATACTTTGGCTATGAAAAAACCGACTCCCATCTGAGCAGGAAACTAGGAAAAAGACGCTAGGTAAGATACTATATAGATTGCTGAAATCACCAAACTGGATCACGAATAAAGTCCTAACTTGTAATCCTGAATGAAAGGAAAAAAGGAAGACTAAGGAACATATAACGTCGAAGAATCGGAGACGAGATTCATAGGAATGATTGCCACTTGTCAAAAACTGGAAGGTTAAACAAAGAACAGAGCTGATTGTATAACTCTGTTCGGCGTCATATGCAGCACCACGACGGGTATCAAGTGCAAGTCAGCAACTCGCTGAGATTTTTAATCTAGTAATATATCACAAATAAAATACACATCCCAAGCAACCAATAAAGGCGAAAAAACGGAAATAAAGGGGACGAAAGCGTAGATGAAGGTGGAATGCCGCTTTTTCGCCTGTACGTCAGTTATTTAGGGGAATGGTCGAATTTTCCCCCTTACGTCGCGTATTTGGTGGATATTTGTCGACAATCATGTGTGTATAAACACGCATAAGAAAAGCGCACAGGCTTGAAAGGCAAGTATGTTATTACTAATTGTTTTAAACTGTATTCACTAATACCTCTGTCGTGTTGAGATTGATAGAATAATTTTTGCAGAAACGGTGAACGAGTCATATGAAAATATAG